AAAATAAATAAATAAAAGAGAAATAAAAGTTATAGAGAAAGAAAATTAAACCATAAAATAAGATAGGAAAAGTATATTTTGAAGAGAAATAAAAGTTAGGGAAAATATTAAATTTTTTTGAGAGAGAAATGATAATAAATAATAATAAATATACAAAATATTAAAAGTTTAGAGATAGAAAAATAAATTTTTTAGAGAGAGAAATTTAGGAATAAAAAAGAAATTAGAGTAGGAAAGAAATTTGTTAGGAATAAACATGTGAAAGAAAAAAAAATGGAGTATTCAGAAGAAAAATGAAATTTTKACATTTAAWTTTTGTATCTAACRAATCCGTGSCATTAGAAAATGTCAAATTAATCAAGAATTTATTAGGTAAAAATGGAAAGTTTCAATACTCATTAAACACTTTTAAATTGAAACCAAACTTCTAAAATTCTATAAATTCCATTGCCATTAAACTCTATATATCAGCCAAACATATCCAAAGTTTTCTTTAACATAATAAGATCATAGTGGGAGTAAAACTCTGTGTTGATCCATTCTTCAATATCTCCAAAAAAAGAATGTCATTTGAAGTTGTCTCAGATCTCATAGTACCAAATAATGGCTCTTCCAATGATAGTGTTCTTCGTCGATCTGGAAACTTTGAACAAAGTCTTTGGGGAGATTATTTCCTTTCCTCTCCTATCAACACAGTTCTGGTATGTATATATATAATTATGTTTTAAAATGTTTTCTTTTCCATATATATTTTGATTTTTGGTTTTATATCATGATAAAGCACCTTGTTTCATATATATATATATATTTTTTCATTTGTCATAGACAACAGAAATGTGTAATGCTGTGAGCCTAATACATGAATATTATGGAAAACTAGGACGACGTGGTGAGGAAACAACTTGAAGAACAGAAAGAAGGAGTGAGAAGAATGGTTGAAGCTGCTGATAAGTGTTCAGAAAAATTAAGTTTGATTGATTCAATCCAGCGCCTTGGCTTATCTTACCACTTTGAAGGAGAAATTAATGAAATTCTAGAGCACATGCAAAATGATTCTTGCAATCTTGATGATGATGAGGATATTTACATTGTTGCTCTTAGATTTCGATTGCTTAGACAACAAGGTTATTCTGTTTCATGTGGTAAGTTGTTTCTCGAGCAATTTTRTTTCCGAAGAATTACTCTTCTATTGAGAGATTTGATTTGTTTAGTAAAGATCATGAAATTATAATTAAGTTTGATTTCTAAACTTTCAGAGTTTTYGAAATACATTACWTTAAGTTTAAAGATTTTAAACTTTCAATATTATATGTTTAATAGGTTATTGAACTTTATAAGAATGTCTATAAGAATGTCTAATACGACCTTAGATTTTCAGTATTATGTTTAATAGATCCCTGATTTACTGACACTTTTTAAAGTTTGGGAATCTATTGAATGCAAAATTGAAAGTCAAGAGACTTAATTATTACACTTTTTAAAAAGTTTAATGACATATTAAATACAACATTGGAAGCTTTAGGAGTGTCTTTTTCTTCTTTTTTTTTTTTAATTTTAATGATCTATATGAAACATAAATTTGAAAGCTTAATTAATTAGGAACCTTGATACAGTCTTCAAAGTTAAGGACCAAACTTATAATTTAATGGTGGGTAAATTTCGAACAGAGATATTCAACCGGTTTACGACTGAAAATGGAGATTTCAAAGAATCCATGGTGAAAGATGAATGTGGTATATTAAGTTTGTATCAAGCATCCCACTTGGGAATGAATGGAGAAAATATATTGGATAAAGCATTGGCTTTTACAACTACTCACCTTCAAGCAATGGCCATGGATTCTAGCTCTCCTTTTGCAGAAGAAGCAAAATATGCTTTGAAGTGGCCAATCTATAAAGCTATGCCAAGGYTCACGACTAGGCACTATATCTCTCTCTATGACAGGGATCCATTAAAGAATAGTGTTTTGCTCTCTTTTGCTAAGTTGGACTTCAATGCTCTGCAAAAACTTTACCAGAAAGAACTGGCTGAGGTTTCAAGGTGAAGTTTTTTCATTAATGTTATTCCTTCATCTTAGAGTTTTTTTTTCCTTTGTGAAAAATTTTGTTATAAATAATTTTAATAACTGAATCCTAAATTTAAATAATTAATGCAAATATGTTCTATTACTTTGAATTCTGATTATCTTATASATTTATGGCTAGGTGTTAAAAGATCCCACATTGAAAAGAAAATATATTAATTACAAAGGTTTATAATACACACGAACTACTCATCTCATTGTTAATTGATTTTAAGCTAGAACCCCATAGCTTAAACAAGCATATATGGTCCAAAAATGAGATCCGGCTAATATTGGTGAATCCAAAATAAGAACCATCTTAAGGGCCGACATGTTAAAGRTCTATGTTAAGAATCCCACATTTAATAGATAGGGGATGACCTAACAAGGGTATTTAATACAAGTGGCTTCTCTAAGAATACTATATTTAATAGATAATGTGGATTGTAATATGAGTAAGCTACTTCTCTATTTGTCAATTGATTTTGAGATGAAACCGTTAATATGGATACTAGGTATATGATTGTGCTCTTTTCTAGTTGAATGAGATTCTTTCTATATGTTGATACATTAGTCCTAATTACCATGGTGTGGTTGTTTTATTTAAAGTTGGATTTTCCGCAATTTAGTGGTCATTTCGAAAAAGTCTTCGAGGATGGCATGCATTAATCTACTTCATAATTTATATATTTATAAATTCTAATGGATGAAATTAACTTTATATAGTGAAAGTTAACTTACTCATCTAATTAAATAAATTATAAACAATTAACGAGATGACTCTTTGATTTTTGAAATTCTAATTATGGGAATAAATATATATAGGTGGATGAAGGATCAGAAGTTGATGGAACATTTGTCTTTTGCACGAAATAGAGTTGTGGAKTGCTATTTTTGGGCATTAGGAGTATTCTATGAACCAAAATACTCTTATGCTAGAATTATATTGGCCAAAATTATTATTTTYATATCCTTTCTTGATGATATGTACGATGTATATGCTACACTCGCTGAACTTCAACTATTCACCGATGCCATGGACAGGTTTGACTCTTCGACGTTTTCATTGACTTATTGTTTTGAACTAAAGCTTGCCTTGTTTCATAGTGTGAGAAAATATAGCAAGTAATCAAATTGACCTTAAAATATTGATTTTGGCTTAATTAATGATTGTGAAAATTATTAACTTTTTTAGTCTATATAGTAGATGGTCAAGTCAACAATATCATTGGATAATGTTAAAGAATGCATTACTAAAAAAGAAGAAGAAATATCGCATTTAGTATAGTTATTTAATCTCATACTTAAACGTAATGAGTTGAGTTTAAATTATTATAATGATGTCATATTTGAACAAAGACATGTTGAGTTATTTAAAAAGTATGAAAAATAATACAAGTTTATCCAAACGGATTAGTTCGTAACTACCTTGTGTTTTAGTGGTTAAAAGCTTTTTGTGGGTTCTACTTATGAATTTTACTCAATTTTAGGTGGGACATTAATGTCATTCACAAACTTCCAAATTACATGAAATTTCTTTATGAAGCCATACTTGAAGTTTATGGAGAGGTGGAACAAGATATTGGCAAGGATAACAATATTTCGTCATTTGGATTGGATTGTGCTAAAGAAGCAGTGAGTTAGTTAACTGTTTTTTAAATATATATTGTTTTCTGTTATGCAATTCTACTCCGAAAACGACGTACTTGAGCTCCCGCCTAGTGGTCAACCTCGATAGATAACTAGCTCAGCAGAAAACTSCATCGACATTTCTTATTAATTCTCCATGTGAGATGAAAGACTTCATTTTCTAAATTGTTTTATGAGTTGTTGGACACAGATGAAAAGACAATGCAGAGCTTATTTTGCAGAAGCTAAGTGGTTCTATGAAGRGTATGTGCCAACCATGGAAGAATATATGGAAGTTGCCAGAATATCAGCTTCCTACCATCTTTTTGTAGCTGCTTCGTTCCTTGGCATGGGAGATGTGGTTTCAAAAGAGGCTCTTCAATGGGCAAAAAGTGATCCTATTATTCTTAGTGCATCAGGAGACATTGGTAGGCTYATGAATGACATAGTTTCCCACAAGGTACACAAAAGATAAAATTACGTTGAGATGAGATTCAAACGATAGGAATGAAATCCGTAATTTAACCAAAATGTTATCTTTATTATAAGTATTTTTTCAAAAATACATTTCAAGTTTGAGTTATTTTTATGTTTTAGTTTGAACAAGAGCRAGGCGATGTTGCATCTGCTGTTGAATGCTACATGAAGCAGTATGGAATATCSGAAGAAGAGACCATAGTTGAACTAGAAAAGCAAGTCATAAAGGCATGGAAAGATATAACAGAAGACTACATGAAATCTACCAAGTTTCCAAATGCAATCCTTTCATGTGTGATGARTGTTAGTCGACTCTCAGATTTCTTTTATAAGGAGGAAGATGGCTACACATTCTCTAATGGAGAAATMAGACGTTTTATCACCTCAATGCTTAAGGACCCAGTACCTCTTTAATTCATCCACACTTTGAATTTTAGATTTTATTGGTGTGCTTTGTAGTGGATAATATATATCTTAATTGGTTAAATTATATTTAAGTTGGTGGATTGTATCTCATTGTTTGAAGTAGTTTTGTTATTTATATTTTAGTTCAAAATAATGTTTAATAATAAATTACATTGGTGTTTAATTMGTTTTTATAGTTAAATTTGTCTACTGCAAGTGTAGATATGAAGTTATATAATGATGTGTTGAGAGTAATATCGAGCCAAAAGTAAAAAGGGAAATGAGTTATTGGGTCTATGGAGGTAAGAAGCCCAACAACCATATAGACGTAAATTTCTTCAACAACAATGCATGGTCTTAAAATATACAGAAAAGAATTTTCTTTTGCTTTTAAAACACAGTGAGTTTGTGTGAGCTTTCTTTTGAGAGATGTTTTTCTTTCGTGAGATTTATAGAGAGCTTTTGAGAGAACTTGTAGATCTTTCCAATGAAATCAAGACTATCAATATCGTCACATTGTAATATTCATYGTTAAATATTGACATGATAGTCCTTCGACTACTAATGTAGTGTTTACTGATTAGGTCTTGAATTCGATTGAATAGACATATAGAGAATCTAATTTCATTTTTAGTTACGGAAAGGAGGAGGATATTTTATATCTGGACTCATGAAAGTATCTGAGTGCTCGAAAATTTAATCAATATTATATTGAATTTATAATTCGTTTTTTTAATCTTAAAAAAAGTGATATTAAGTAAAAAAACAAAATCTTTCATTTGGATAAGCTCTACTCACGCATGTAATAATCTTCCGATTGTCACAGTAAAGATTAGGTCAAATGAGAAACGAATAGMGGGATATGTGATACATAATGATCTATCTTGATTCTCTATTTTTATATTTATACTTTTTACTTAAATATAATAAAATGTATGGTAATAAAAGAAAGACTGGGTCTTATTATTCCTACATATTACTAACACCCTGTTGATACTTCCAAGAGTTTGTCTGGCTCTTTTATTTTCTTGTGCTTAATGTTTTCATTATACTAGAAATCATATGGCAAACTTAATGAATAAGTTTTTTTAGGTTTGGGCTTTTGTGTTGTGTGGCCCAATCATTTGTCTCCACATACCAAGTGTTTTGTTTTAACTAACAAATCAAATTTTGATCTAATTAGTTATGCAGATATATACGGTATATTTACCTGATTCACATAAAGCTAAATTTCAAACAGGTTATCTATTCACATTTGGAGGAACTATATTTAGTGAATCAGACCATAACAACCATTTTTTCTAATAATGCTGAAATTGTTGCGATTCATGAGGCTAGTCGAGAATGTGTATGATTGAGATCAATGACTCAACGCATGCACGGAACATTTGGCTTGTCTTCTAGTACAATATATTCTTCGAACGATATTATACAAAGACAACACAATGTTTATAGTCCAAATCAAAGGACGATATATTAAAAATGATAGAACAAAGCATATTTCACCAAAGCTTTTCTAGAAAATGGCTACATCACTGTCCAACAAAATTGTTCGAATAATAACCTGACAGACTTAATGACAAAAGCATTACCTACCATAACCTTTGAAAAATTGGTGCAGAACATTGGAAATCTTAAGTAATGTTTCTATAGAGGTGAACAAAATATATTGTATTCTTTTGAATTTATTAAATTACATGAAATATTTATTCTTTTCTCTTCCATTAGGATTTTTTTTACCACAAGGTTTTTTCCTAGCAAGGTTCTAATGAGACATATATGATATAAATAATAAACATGGAGTATTATAAAACATATTTGTTTAAGTAGATGTCCAATTTCTAAGGCCATCTTGTTCWCTTAGTCACCGAGGAAGTACACCCTTATTCACCAAGCTTATGACACCTATACAAAGCCCATGTAGTCTTGTCTTGCTCTCGAAGTCCATGAACTCTATAAATTAGTGGCAAATATAGAAGCATAAATTGTGTGAATGGAAGAAGGATAAAAAATTGAAATTTCATCGATCCTCTTCCATCATTTTATTTTTCTTTTGATATTTTCTTCTTGGTTTGAATAGTGCATCGATTTCGTCCCTCAATTTCACTGCAAGAAATTGTCCCTCAATTTCACTGCAAGAAATTTGAGCTTTCGCGACCCAATAGCTAAATACTTCGTCAACAAAATGTATTCTTGACGTTTTTCTTTGTCACGACAATCATAGCAAATCTCTGTTACAGTAAGTCTTTGGCAACTAAATTTGAATTTCGTGGCAAAAAAACCTTTCGCGACAAATTCCAGATTCGTCGCCAAATGTTCAATTTTGTAAGCATAAATAATATGAATTTAAGGGTGCACACGCATCCTATTTTTTCTACTACCAAATCTTGTTACCTAAATATTTCTTCAAATTTTAATCAAACTTCATAAACATGCATTCACAATTATCATATAAACTTAGATTTATATTGAGAGATCGATTAGTGATTTGGTCACCCAAGCTTGTATTTTCTAAACCCTCCAACCTTGTTCGCTATAGTGAACGAGAATACGGGGGAAGCACTTCTCAATCTTATGTCTATCTATTTGTTCGATCAGTTAACAAAAATATTCAACAGGGGTCTTTGTTCACGGCTCACTCAACAGAGAGTATTGCGTATCGCCGTGACACCACACCGGGTGGAAAGGAGGAATTATTGTCAATTGATGGTAAAAAAAAGGAATTGTCTTATTTTGCGTGGCCAACAAGACCATAAGCAAGAAATGCATTGTGCACACACAGTCTTCTAATCGGCTTTTATCCTCTTTCAAGAGAAAAAAGAAGAAATGAGGGAGAAACTAGTGATGATTGCCATGAATGCAACCTTCGAGGATGTGTACAAGAAGGTCTTTATCAATTCCTATCAACATGGTGCACCTCTCAGTAGAGGGGCCCATGGAGACTTTGACTGAATGAATAGGGATCAATTTCTCGACATTTTTATTGAGGAAGAGAATCTAGGATGAACACTTTTTTCGTTCGCTATGTGTTGACTGGATGCGTACTCGCGTGATCGATGGATGGGGAATTGCGTGAATGACGAGACTGACTTAACCTAAAGTGGACGGCTCTCCCCTCTCTTGATGGCRAATCTTGATTGACTGACACTAGGAACCGATTCGGAGAAAGAAGAAGCATGGCATGAGGACGGAAAAGTTTCCGATTAAGTAAAAAATAATTTACAATCTATTTAGTACAGAAAGTCAAATATAACATAACCTAAATTTCGACTACAACCTAAATCTAAAACTAATCTAGCAAGCTCCATCTTCTTTTGGCTTCATGAAACTTTCTCTAATTTCCAAAACTTTCAAGAAAAAAATCTCAAATTAAACAAAACTATTTCAAATTAGACGAAACTTTTAGCGACGAAATTTATATTTCTATCGCGAAAAGTACCCTGTTGCAAGGAAAATAAATTCGTTGCAAAAAAAAATTTCTTTTAGTATTTCGTAAGCAATTGTGTTTGATATTTTGTTACTTTATTCTCTTGTTTTCATTGTTTAAACTCTAATCAAAATTATGAATATCATAATTATGATACTTGGATGAACTTATAATTCATCACATAACTACTTACAACATTTAACACTCACAAATAAACTTTTAATAAACAGCGCCGGCAAAAAGCTGTTGTAATAAAAAGAACGAACAATTGTAGATAGATTAAAGAGGCACACGATCCTTAAGGATTGAGGTAATAAAACGTCTTGTTTCACCATGAGGGAATGTGTAACCATCTCCCTCCTTATAAAAGAGATCCGAGAGTCGAGCAACATTCGTCACGCATGGAAGGATCGCATTTGCAAATCTGGTAGATTTCATGTAGTCTTCTGTTTTATCTTTCCATGCTTTTATGACTTGCTTTTCTAGTTCRCCTACAACCTCTTCTTCTGATACTCCATATTGCTTGAGGTAGCATTCAACCGCACAAGTAACATGACCTCTCTCTTGTTCAAACTAGAGAAARTGCAAAAAGAACAAGGTTTTACAATGTAATTTTGAAAAAAACTCTTTCAAATAGAGAGTAAGATTTTTTTTCCATAATAGAGAATAGATGTCGTGTGACTTCGCCAGAGAATCTCTATAACTTGGGGCAATAGATATGGATATCACCTAACAGTGTAATCGACAGCAAAGGACTCAATCTGGACACTGGGTGTCGCCACCCAGACTACGCCCCTTGGGATTCAAATCTAGGAATTGGATATCAACACCCATCCTCGAATTCCACCCCACCACACTCGCAAGCACACGAATAAAGATGACACTTTGGTTAAATTACAAACTTGATCATATGGTTAATTTTTTCTTTCTTGTGTACCTTGTGGGAAGCTATGTCATTGACGAGCCTACCAATGACTCCGTTTGCATTAAGAAGCATATGACTCATAACCCATTGAAAAGCCTCTTTGGAAGCAACATCTCCCATGCCAAGGATGGAAACAGAAGCAAAAAGATAGTAGGCAGCTGATACAATGGCAACTTCCATATATTCTTCCATACTTGGCACATGTCCTTCATGGAACCACTTAGCTTCCACTAAATAAGCTTTGCATTGCCTTTTCATCTCTGCTCAAAACTCAAAAAATAAATTACCAAGGGAAGTCTTTCTTTTCACCTAAAATAGAGAAAAATAAGAGACTCCGTTCGGCAATGTTCCCATTTTTTATTTCATCTTTCTTGTTTTTTTTTTTTAATGATTCCTGTTTATCATTTCTCATTTATAAGAAACGTTTTTAAATTTTTTTATAAATTTTGGAAATGACAAAATCTAGTTTCTTGATTTTTTTATTTTATTTTTTTTTCAGATTTTTCCAAAATATAGATTTAAGTATTATTTTATCATTTTCTATTTATAAAAAGTACAATAAATATCAAACATTAAATATAAAATAAAAAGTTTGAATATTTAATTTAAGAAATAATATTGTATAAAGATTTTACTTCTTTTTGTAATTTAAAAAAGGTTATAGAACTGTAAATAAGAAAGGGTCACAAAAATGTTTACATTTCTCTTTCTAATAAAAAAGAAAGAACAACCAACCATGAACAGTTACCAAATCCAACCCGAAACAAGAAAGAATAAGTAGAAATTTTACCAAATGAGCCGAAATTTATAAAAACA